AATTACTGGGGGCTGAGCTTCAATGAAAGAGTTTCAGGGGGCACACTTTACCCATAGCAGAAGGCATTCAATAAATATTTGCTGGGTGAATGAAAAGTTCTTGACCCATTTCAAGGGCTGTTGATCTTTGTTAGACTGCCTGTTTCTCCTTACCCCCATTCTTTGATGTTTCTAATTAATCACAGACATTCAGCAAGTGACAAGGTTTATGGTAGCGATGGAAGCAACTCCAAGCTAATAGGAAGGATGTTCTTCAATATTTCAGAGGCCCAAAGTGTGACTTTTCAGGGTTTTTCTGTCTGTGGATCAGTGATTTGCAAGCTTATTCCACAAATACCTTGGGAGTGATGTGAAAATCTCAAAATTTACAAGAACATAATTAGTTGCAATAAAAAGAAAGAAAAAATATCTCCTAGTACTTTATACTGTCTAATGAATTGACTGAGTTAATGTGTATTCATTCAGAAGTTGTAAGATTCAAAATGTGCATGAAGGTACAAGGTGAAAATCCTCCCCCAACTTCTGCCCCAGCCACACAGTTCTCCAAAGCAAGTTATCGGTTTCTGAGCTATTTTCCCAGAGATATTTCAGGCATATACAGTAAGTCCTTATTTAACATTGTCGATAGGTTCTGTGACTTTAAGTAGGACAGTGCATAATGAAACCAATTTTACCACAGGCTAATTGATATAAACAATGGTTCTGATGACATCAACTTTATAATGAAATGACATTGAGTGCAATGATGTTATTGAGGACCTGCTATATAAAAAACAAATATACTTCCATACAACATCATGTATAAAACACATGATGTTCTGCACCTTAATTTTTGTTATGAAAATTATATTTTTATTATAAATAGTTTTAAGTTATAAATTACAAATTCATTACAAATCCTGTGTTATCTATACCCATCGACTATCCACCCTTATTCTGGTCCCCAGGGCTGACACTAGGGTGAGGTAACAAGGTGCCTAGACAATTTAATGAGGCACTCACTCTCAGGTTGCAGTCACACATGTGTGACTCCTTAAATTTTGCTTTTTAAGCTTGCACCAACTGAGATCCAGCTCTTTTGGCTCCAGTGGACTATTTTGAGGTAAATCTCAAATGTATCATAGCTTGCCTTTTGTCTTACTGTATATTGGATATAGTTTCATATCAGAACAGAACTACTTCAGTTTTGATATAGTTTCATAGTATTACACTACATGAATATGCAATAATTGGTCTAGTCCCTATTGGTGGATATTTAGGTTGTTTCCTGTCTTGGTATTTTAAACAATTATACAATGATTGACTACATTATACCGCACATGTAAATTTATCTGTAGAATTAAATACCTACATGTGAAGTTTAATATTTGGCATTATGAACACTTTTTGATCTTTGCTTATCTAATGGAAGAAAATTCTTTCTCAGTGTAGCGTAGTTTGCATTTGTCTTATAATAAGTGAAGCTGGGCAACTTTTCATATGTTTGAAGGCCACTTGTATTTCCTTTGCTATAAACTGTTCACCTCCATTGCCAATTTTTATTTTGGGCCCCTCTGTCAGATTAAAAATGGCTACAAATTCTTTTACATACTCTCTGTCAAGAGGTGGGTTTTATTCTTCTAGCCCTGTATGTGGCCTGGCACATGAATGCTATATTAGTTCCAGGCACTTAAGGGTAACTTCAGCCTTGGTTTATTAGAGCCCTAGGCCCCCTCACATGAAAAAGTATACTACTCTCCCAGAGCGACCATGTGGTGAGGTCCTGATGCTACATAGACATGGAGAGAGACCCAGCTGAGGCCCAGGCTTCCAAATACACATGCCAAAGTCTTAGATAAGTCTTCTGGGGAAGAAAAATCACCCAGCTGAGCCCTGCCCAAATTCTTGACTTATAACAAATGGTGGTTGTTTTAAACTACTCAGTTTTGGAATAGTTCTTATAATACAGCAATATAGAACCAGAACATCAAGCATTCTTTTTATTGGGGGTTGGGGGGTTCTTTATGTATTAGTTAAACTGGCCATTTGTTTTATATAGTGCAAACAGATTTTTTCCTAGATTTTTTGACTCTGATTTTTATGGTTTTTTAGTCATGCAAAACTTGATAATATTATATAACAGAATTGATCATATTTTATATTTTCTTCCAAAAACCAGCTAGAACATACAATTGAGGAAAAGATAATTTTTAAGAGATGAAATTATCTATTATTAAACTAGATTAACTAGGAAGAAAAAACTAAAAACTAAAGAAAAAATCTAAAAGAATCAAAGGAAAATTTGAACAAATAGACCCTATTTACTTAGATTTAAAAAAGAAAAAAATCTAAGTTCCTGGCTGGTGTGGCTCAATGGGTTGAGTACCAGCCTGGGAACCAAAAGGTTGCCTTTTTGATTCCCAATCAGGGCCCATACCTAGGTTTCAGGCCAGGGCCCCAGTTCGGGGTGGGGGGCGCACAAGAGGCAGCCACACATTGATGTTTTTCTCCCTCTCTCCCTTCCTCCCCCTCTCTAAAAAGAAATAAAATCTTTTTTTTAAAAAAGCTTCTTAGCAAACTTCCCACTATTTAAAAACAATAAAAAAATTACAAGTTGTTCTAGAGTTTAATGTAATCACAATGAAAATACACAAAAGGGTTTTTTTAAGAGAAGCTAATTCTAAAGTTTCTAGGAAAAAATAACCAAGAGTAGCTAGGAAAATTCAACCTACTTTTAGCCCTACCATATAACAAAACAGTATAAAGCTACAGTATTTTTAACTGGGGTACTGGTACATAAATAGAAACAATGATCAATTGAACAAAAGACACACTATATACATGCATACATACACTTGGTACATTTATAAATGTAGCATTTTAAGTTGAATGGGGAACAATGAGTTATTTTTATTTTTGTAATGATGATGGATAACTGGGCAGCCATCTAGAAATTATAAAGCTGTATCAGTTCTAGGATACACTGGGATAAATTTTAGATTAAAACTCATTCAAAGATTTAAATGTGAAAGAGCAAAATCATTTTTTAAAAAAGCAAATTACTTCTGATGAGTTGTATAATCATTCAAATGATTGGTTATGGGGATCAATCCCCAAAAGTTTAGGAATCATGACTTCAGAAACAGGAAAATGCAAGCAAGTAGCTAAGCATCTCTTCATGTGAGGATCAAATAGATATACTGGAGTGTTCTATCCATGCTGTCCTTGAATTCAGTAAATCTAACTGGAGTTTCCTCTGTGCACAGCATGATCCTCTGTTGGATTTGAGACAGGAAGATGTTTTAATTATCCCATGGATTTTCTAGCTTTCTATAGTTTAAAAATCACTTTCATATCCTTTTATCTTAACACCTTTATGAGGTCAGCATTAAATTATCCTACTTAAACAGAATTCAGTTAAGCAAGTTATATTTCTGCCACTTGTCCCCTTAGACTAGTTCTTTCAGTTTCCTCATCTATAAAATGGAAATTCCAATTAAAAGAAATTTCTGCCAGGCCACAAGTACATGAGATAACAAATTCCAGCCCCTTCTCTTCCAGCTGTGTAACTTAGAGAACAATATATTACAACATTGAGGCCTTAATGTATATACACACGCTACCTCGCTGAAACTTCAGCCCCATGAGGCGGGAACATTTTTATCTCTGTTTAGGTAACAACTAAGTGGAGATGTGGCAAAGCTAAGGAATTTATCATTGGTCATAAACTACAAGTGAGCTGGATTTGAGCCCAGCAATCAGATTTCAAGGCTTTCATGCTAAAAGCTGTGTTCTGTCGCCACCTTACAATAACAATGCAGTGATGGTCAACAGACATATGAAAAGGTGCTCAACATCACTAATCAGATAAATGCAAATTAACACCACAATGAGATACCATCTCACACCTGTCAGAATGGCCATCGTTAACGAATCAACAAACAAGTGCTGGCCCGGTTGTGGAGAAAAGGGAACCCTTTTGCACTGTTAGTGCAATAGACTGGTGCAAGCCACTATGGAAAGCAGTATGGAGATACCTCAAAAAACTAAAAATAGATCTGCCTTTTGACCCAGTGATTCCACTTCTGGGAATATATCTTAAGGAACCCAAAACACTAATTCGAAAGGACATAAACATCCCTATGGTTATTGCAGCGTTATTTACAATCACCAAGATATGGAAGCAGCCCAAGTGTCCATCAATAGATGAGTGGAGCAAACAACTATGGGATATTTATTTACACAATGGAATACTACTCTCCATAAAAAAGAAGGCAATTTTACCGTTTTTGACAGTATAGATAGACCCCGGAGAACGTTGTGCTAAGTGAAATAAGCCAGTCAGAAAAAGACAAATACCATATTTCACTCATATGTGGAATCTAATGAACAAACTGAACTAACAAGCAAAACAGAGACAAACTCATAGATGGAGATCAGATGCCAAGTAGGAAGGGACGAGGTTAGAGGGTGGAGGGATTGAGCAGAAAGGAAAAAGGACTCATGGACATGGACAACAGTGTGGTGATTGCTGTGGGAGGGGGGTATAATGGGACTAAACGGTGATGAAAAAAATAAAGATTAAATAAAAACAAAAACAATGTAGCAAACCACAGCCGGCTGGATTTCAAATTTGGATGCCTGTAGCTAAGAGTGCCAGGAATGAGTCCTGGATGGATGTGGGCTTCTTACCGCCCTAACCTTCTTCACCACGAAGCTGCCATCAAGCCTAAACTCCAAGGAAATAGGCTTTAGAAAAAGCACTAAACCAATCCTTTTTACGAAGAAAGAGAGAAGTAAGCAACGGAACGATTTGGCTCTTAAAGCCAACTCAGAAAATGGTGACACAAATACACTGCGTCTCCGCCGCTTCCCTCCAGGTGACGCTGTAGGACCGACCCCCGTTTCAAAGTACAGTCGCTTCAAGTTGGCCTTCACCGGAGGCTATAGAGCATCAAGGCTAGAGAAGCACTTCCCAGGCACCGCCCCGGCCGGTCGCAGTACCATCCACTTCCGCTTCCGGTGCTTTATTCCAGCGGTAGGTCCCTGAAGGAGCGCGCGTGTTAGTCTTTTGTCAGCTTCCACCATGGCGTACCGTGGCCAGGGCCAAAAAGTGCAGAAGGTGATGGTGCAGCCCATTGTATCCTACGCAGGACTGGGAGGTTCGGGCTAGAAAACGGGGCGGGGGGGTGGGAGGTGATCTAAAGAGTAGACAGCAGGCTCGGAGGAGCGAAGTGCTTTCATCCACTTCCCGTGAGTCTCCGGGGCGCCCGAACCCGAGAGAGAGACGGCCGCTGAGGAAACGGGGTCGGGTGGGAGGCGGATTTGGCCAGACCCCTACCGAGGGCATGTGGGAGGCGTGGGGGGTGGGGGAGAGAGCGTCCTAGTTAGGTAAAGAGTGCAGCCGGGAGGTTATCGGTCTGGGGAAGGAGGTTGACGGCGCCACAGGTAATATCCAAGAAAGGAAGAGAACGAGAGGGGATTCCTCAGAGTATTTAGGGAATCCCTAATGGGTGCCTAGTTGGACCCTTTTCGTGGAGTAGGCCCTGAAAATTCGATGAGGGCAGTGACCAGTTTCAGGGAGCAGAGTATGCTGTGCGTGTATTTTCCTTTAACCGTCGGTGCAGAACCTTATCTTCAGATACTTGCAAAATGTACGTAAGTTGTCGTTTCGCTGTCCTGTCTCATCACTGTGTTCTAGTTAAAAAGATGAAATTGGGGAGATCGGAGGGGTATTCTAGGGGAAGGGGTGCAGGGAACGCCCTAATGTAGTGAAATGGTATGAATCCATGACAACTGCAAGCATGTAAAGAATTGTCATTATTTTGCGAGACCAGAATTACTTATTTCAAAAAGTAATTTTTGGGGACGCTGGGGGTGTGTGTGGAGGGACTGACCTGGAAAAAAAAGAGAACTCATGGACAAGGACAGCAGTGTGATTGTGGGGTGGGGGGCGTGGAGATGGAAGACGGTAAAGGGGGAGGGATAGGTTCAAAGGATTTAGGGACGGCCTACTTTTCTTTGGGGGGATTTTTAGCACCAGAGTCTGAGGTGGCAAGACGGAGTATTTAAATTGTCTCCAAAAGAAAACGTAGTTAAATTTTAGCGTGACAACACAATTGAAAAAACATTATTAATTTGAAGCCATTGTAATTTATAATCACAAGAATTGAGGGTTTCTCCTCTGGTTGTTAGATATAAGACTTAGAAAACTGAGAAACTAGAGTCACCTTTTTTTACAGCTGAATTTTGGTATAGCAGATAAAGAAGTGGAAATTACTGCTTTGTGCTACACTGACATCAGTTTTCACTCTAAATGTATTGAAACTAGAAGCAGTAAGAAATAGAGTGTCAAGATCACATGAAAATTAAGTTATCAAACTTGGGACAGTCTGGTCCTAATGTAGTATTTATTAAATGAGAATGTTTCTTGGCAAGTAACTAGTCATGGTTATCATGAGTCAAATGGTTAAAACTCTTGGCTTTCTTTTTTTTTTTTAAGTTTTTGTAGGAGCCGTATTTTTCTGTTGTTTGACAAAAGTGATTGGAGTTTGTGTGCTTTTTTAACATTTCTATTTTTATGATTATTTCAGAGATCTCGGATTCAGGTGTGGCTTTATGAGCAAGTAAATATGCGAATAGAGGGCTGTATCATTGTGAGTACCCAGGACACCCAGGATGTGTTATCTCAGAGCAGATTGTTATAGAAAAAGACCTCACCAAAAAAAGAAAAAAGACAAAGGCCAGCCAGACATAGTCGGTGTTTAATAATAATTGACTACCTCATCTTAAAAACAGATCTCCCTCTCACCTCCCAGCTTAGGTGTATATTAGGGTAAAGGGTGATGTAATTGGAAAGATTTGAAGAAAACTATGAGGTGGTTTATAAAGGTACAGATATGGTGGGAGTTGATCAGAGGCTTTGTGGAAGTAGTGAAGATGTGATTAGAGCCGGGACTTGAAGAAAGGGTAAGGCTTACGCAAACCACTTAACTTCTATTTAGCTGTTATTAATTGGAACAGTGGGTGGGGCGGGAGAGGGGGTAGAAAAGAATGGTCTGCCGGAGCAGAGTACAAAAAGTCAAAGACCCAGCCCAAAGAAAATTTTTCAGGGCCCACTGTCCTTGCCTCATTGTTCTATTTGATAGGGATTGGTTAACACATAAAATTGAGGGAAAATTTGTTTTTTAAAATGACCTAAATAACCATGTTAGTATTTGAAGCAGGGAACCAAAAAAAAAAAAGGTGGGTGAGGAGTAATAGAGCCTTAACTCTGGATTAGGTGATACCTGATAGAGGTGGGTGAGGTTAGTTAAATAAGACTTCCAGGATGGCAGAATACCCTTAATGTTTTAAAGAAAGATGAGATATCACCAAAACTATACCCTTTAAACATCATAGATTTCCTCAGCAATCTCACCTTCCCTGTTTACTAGGTAGAAAACAAGAGTAGTGGTTAATGGTGCTAGTTTTTTTGTGGGGAACGTGGGAGAAGTGGTGGCAGAAGTCAATTCATATATATTCACACGTACTCCGTATTGGGCGGGTTCTGAAAGACGGAGAGTGGCTCTTAGGCATAGCTAATGAAATCTTAAGTCCAAAAGGTTCCAGAAATAATGGAGTGCATTCTGGTTTTCTTTTTTAAAAGGGACTTAGAGTGGGAGGCGGTGTTTCATCTGAAAGATGAGCAAAGGAATGAATTTTTGAAGTTTGTTGGCATTTCTGTATCTCTTTAGACTGGTTTAGATGTGGTCTTAAAGATAACAGTCAATGGCTTGTTTTTCTAGGGGTTTGATGAATACATGAACCTTGTATTAGATGATGCAGAAGAGATTCATTCTAAAACAAAGTCAAGAAAACAACTAGGTAAGAATATAGAAAGTCTTAGAGTTTTCGAAACTTTTATTTACTTGCAAAATTGAGTGAGCTGTAACTTAGTTCATGTTTAAATTTAGTTTATTATTTGAGGTGGGGAATTTATACTCTTGAAATTATCCTTTTTCACTTACTCCTTACCCCGCTCCATTTCTCCTGTCACTCCACTTGGGTAGCTCTTACCTGTGCTTTAACACCAAAGACTAACGGTGTTAAATCTATTGGTCAATATTCATCCTCATTTTACTGACCTCCCAACAGCATTTGTCACTGTTTGGCCACTCCCTTCTTAAAACACTTTCTTCCCTTTGCTCCCTTTGCTCCGTGATACTATACTCAGGTTTTATTTTTCATTTCTGGTTACTCCTTTTCAGGCTTTATATATTCGTTCATTGAGACCCAACCATTAAATGTTTAAATTGCTCAAAGCTTGGTTTTAGGTCCTCCTGTCACTCTGTATTAGGTACTCAAGACCACACCTTCCATTACCATCTCTGTGCAGTCACATTCCTCATAAAGACATTGTGGCTAACGACATTGTGGCTAACGATGGATTGCCTATACCACGGTGGTGTACCGGAGAGCTTAGATGTGTAGTAGGCTAGGCTGTACCATCTAGGTTTGTATAAGTGCACTCTGTGTTTGCACAACTATGAAATCACCTACTGACTTCATTGACTCCCAAATTTATATCTAGCCCTACACCTCTCTGAGCCTATTAAACATTTCTACTTGAATATGTCAACGGCTCCTCAGCGTTAGCATATCAGAAATCAAACTTAATTCCCACCCCTCGCCCTTTTAGAGCTTAGTGTTCCCTGCCGTACCTAATAGCACCAATTTCTGTTCAGTATGTTTGTTGATTTCTCTGCAACTACCTCATCCCCCTCCAGTTTGCTCTGTGGGCTCCACTAATTTTTGAGAAACACCAATCTGACCTTGTCATCCCTTTGCTTGACATCCTTCCTTCATTGGCTTCCTGTTGCTCACAGGATAAGAAAATTTTTAACCTGTTCTTCAAGGGGTTCTTCATGATCTGGGCTTATCTCCATCTGCCCTCTGCTTCATTTTCTGAGCTTCATCCACGCCTGTTTTTTCCTTCAGTTCTGTGACACTGCACATTTACTCCACCATAAATCTTTGTATATCCTGTTCCCTGTGTCTTTAGGATTCAGATGAAATGTCACCTCCTCCCAGGGTTTTGTTTTGTTTTATTTTGCTTGGGGTGGGGATGGGGGGCAGGGAGCAGGGGTCTCTGAGTTTGTATTAAAACGTTCATTAGTGGTATTATTAATTTCTCTCCCACTGGACCACATGCTCAGTAAGTGCATGAGTCCCATCTGTTTTGCTCCCCTATGTGTTCAGTGCCGAACTTGGTGTGTGGCATGTAGTAGAAACTCAAATATATTTGATTAATGAACACAGTTTTGTAAGACAGTTAATAGAGGGTCTTTAGGATTCATGGCTTCATCAAGAAAAACTGAATCACTTTTGTTAAAATCCCATTAACTTAGGTTTATGTAGGCATTTGGTTTTTAATTCGCAGGTTCACAGCTCACTAGGACTTTTATCAGTGATGGGCTTCAGGTATCTCTTATCCAGACCCTGAGGATTCTCTTCAGCCTATACTAGATATGTGGAACATAGATTCTAAAAATTGTTTTGCCCTGCTTTGGCTATTTTTGTGAAAGCCTGGATTTTTAAAATTTAAACATGTCATGCCAGGAAGGGCAAGCTAGCCTTATTGACATACTATTTATAAATAATTTACAAAGTGTTGAATTCCCGTAGTAGTATCTTATAAATCGAGGAAAGATTAATACTACCTGTTGTGGAAGCCTGGGAAAGTTTAATCGCTGCTGGGGCTGATTCACAATTCTCAAACTGTTTTACTGAACTCCAGTCTTCCTGAACCTATTTATGGATATTTCTCAGGAAAAAAGTATTCTCTGCTCAAATAAGTTTATGAAATAATTGGGTGAAACTTAAATAGGTCTGCTTACTGAAGGGTGAAATAAGAGCTCTGAGGACGGGGTTCTCACCTGCTGCATTTTCTAAACTTGACATACAGCTCATTTTCCAACTTCTACAAATGTAGAGCGTCAGGAAATGTTGGGGTAGACCTACTTAGCTAACTTAGTCTGCAGAAACTGTGCTTTTCATAAAGTAACAGTTCTCTAGCTTAATTAGGTTATTGGTCCTTTTTTCATTAGGTTATTGTTTAAAAAGTACATTGTAATATGCACAGCCTTTCAGTATCTGGGTACTTGAAAATGCTCATATATAAGAAAATATTTTCAAAATTGCTCAAGAACCATTCAAAATTCTGAGGCTAAAATGTCTGAGTATCTATTAATAGCTTTTTTTAAAAAATTTTTGTGTTTCAGGTCGGATCATGCTGAAAGGAGATAATATTACTCTCCTCCAAAGTGTCTCCAACTAGAAATGACTAATGAAGTGAGAAATTGTTAAGAAGCAATACAGTTTGTGTTTTTTTAGGTTTGTTACAGTTTGTTGTGGGTATAGTCCTCGAACATTTGTTCATATTGTTTTGACTACCCTTTTGTTACTACCAGACAATAAATGCTATGTGACTGTTTTTATTAAAAATTTTACATTGTTTCTTTCTATCCAGTGGTAGAGACCTTTTACACAGTAGCACCATTAGCTGTTAGCATTTTAGTTTTCTGAAGAGTGGCTGTTGGCCATGGGCATTTGCTTTTCACAGAGTCTGCTCTATAGATTCTTAAGGCAAAGAGTAGGAATTCCACCTGACAGGTAAGCCTCTGATACTGGGTGGGAAGGAACAGGAAGGTTCACAACAGTAAAGGCTGTTACACTAATAAGTCTTCATCAACAATTCCAATTCTGGACGCTGAAACACTTGAGTTTCTAACCACGATAGGTCGGGGACATAACATCTCTATTTCATAGAGTCATTGTGTGAGGTCTTTGTTAATTGTTTTGATCACTAAGATCAGAATGTGAGAAGTATTTGGGTTTGGGCAAAGAATGAAATGTCTTAAAATTACATTAAAAATGAGCTCTGATAAGAGCTAACAGGAGGGAGACTTTGTGAGATTGGTAACCTGAAAAAAGACTATAAGCCGTGCTGGTCAATTAGGTGGAATAATAAATAGTATGTTAGTTGGGAAAACACCTGTTTCTTTTAAGAATTTTGTTGGTTCCTCCCCCAGTAATTGCTTGTTTCCTAATTGTGTGGACAAATCTCTCCTCCCCCAGTATCTCCAGGTGGTTCTAGTTAGAATTCTGTAAAATGATTATTGAGCATCTGCTGTTAACGCACAAAGTTGAATAAATACAATGAAACAGGCTGGCAAACAAAACAAATAGCTTCAATACCAGTGTGAAGTGCTATTTAAATTGGACCTTGAAAGATGAGAAAGGCCTTCCTTAAAATTCTGGTAATGCAGCCCTGGCTGGTGTGGCTCAGTTGATTGAGTGCCGGCCTGCAAACCAAAGGGTTGCTGGTTTGATTCCCAGTCAGGGCATGTGCCTGGGTTGTGGGCCAGGTCCTGGGTAAGGGGTGTGCGAGAGGCAACCATACATTGATGTTTCTCTCCCGTCCCGTATTTCAAAATAAATTTTAAAAATCTTAAAAAAAAATTCTGGTAAGGGGCAGCCAATATATTAAGTGTTGGCCAGGGAGGACCAAGAGGTCCATTTCCTGCCTTTCCAAGTGCCTGTGAGGGAGATAACGGAACTTTTAAACTGAGTAAAAGAAACCATTTGTGAGAATGAGATTGGTAGGCAAGTACAGAAATCTAGCTTACAACTTGGCATCCTAGGTGTTCTCCTATTTGAACGGGTGCTTTTTGGGTAATATTTTGAAATAAAGGGCTGCTTTAGTTCTTTACCATTTGAGTCTGAAATTCACTGAGCTTGAGACAGCATGCAAAGAAAAACATTGGGCAGCAGAGGGAGTTGCAGACCTGAGGCTGGCTGAGCCTTTCTGGTGCAAAAAATAGGAACAGTAAAGACCCGGCCTTTTTGGTATTAAAGTAGCTGGGAAGAATGATAAAAGTGGAGCAGTATAATCCCTAAGAAAACCTGCTGGCTGCTGCATCCATTTCCCTGTGCAGCCTTTCCGACCTGGCTGCCCTGTGTAAGCAAAACTGTACCTGCTATGGCTTACTCTGAATGGATCAAGATGTGGAAAGTTCTATTTTTGACAAAGCAAATGTTAGTGAGAAATAAGGTATAGTTGAACTTGTACAATTGACTTCTGTACGTAGAAATACCTGCTTGCTTTGTGCTCCACCAGAACATGTGGTTGCTTTTTAAGTTGTACTTTTCCGCAATCTGTAGATTTTTTTTTTCTTCCAACCAGTTTGTGTTAAAAGAGGTGTTGCACTCTACTTCTTTAAGGTTATTAAGGCATGTTGCTGAGAAGCTGCTCTTGTTGGCAGCCCTTTTGTATGTGAGCAGTTATTTTTCAGGAATGGCTGTTGGTTTCCAAGGGGATCTTGCTATCCACACACTAACTTTCCTGTAACATTCTTAAAGTGGGGAGGAGAGGAGAATTAGACTGAAAAAGTGCTGGTGCTGGGCTTGGTGTTCTTTAACAGTAGGTGGAGAGAAACATAAGATTTTGTGTTTGCAGGCACCAGCTATTATTTTGTGACATTTGTCAGTTTCAGGATTAGAGTGGATCTCTAATTTGGATAAAGCATTACTGACTAGGAAGTGTCATGGGTAGTACCTGAGGCAGCATCTCATGTTATCTGAGTGACACGGGATTTTTCATAATTACTCCTTTTAGAACTAATAACAGCCTACTCATGGCATGCTTTTGGGAGATGAGATGCTTGGTAAAACTTCTTAAGGTGGCATAAGAACTTAAATCTATTAGTACCTAGAGTTTAATTTTAATTTAAAACATATCCAGTGGGATTTTTAAAAATTGAGTATAAAAACACTCGTACAGATTAATGATCAAAATGCAAACAGTACAGAAAGATGCAAAGTAG